ACTAAAACCTGCAGCCTCTGCCTCTCTGTCTCTGGAGTAAACTCCCTGGACATTGGAATGATTTCCCCATTACGGATGATAATGGCCCTGCAATGAAACATGGAAGGATGAGATTAGCGGAGAGGAGACGTGGTGAGGGAGCTAAGCCCAGCTCTCTGGGGCCGATTCCCTACCTGGATGCCCAGGCAGTGCAACCCCTTCCCCCCCGCTGCCTGCCTTCTTCCCAGCCCCGAGCTGGGGGTCGGCTTGCTGACTGGGCTGCAGCTAACCTCCCCCAGCAGCAGGGCATGCCTCCCTCCTGGGCAGGGAGGAAGAGAAAATGGAAGAGATGCGTGGGGCAGAGGGGAATGAAGCAGAGGAAACCAAAGGACAGGATATGGTTAGAAAAGGAGCAGCACAAAGGTGGCGAACCCTCCTTTAGAGGGGAGTCGCACACGGGACAGGCAGAAACGGCCAGCAGCAGGACATGGGTGCAAGTGCCCAGTGCACACCAGCACTGTGGCTCGCTGCTGGGGCCGGTCTGATTGTTCGATGTGTAAAAATAATAAAAGTCTGATTATGAGATGTTTCTGAAGGTCATGGGGGGATTGAAGATCTCCAACACTGGTGGTCCAGCCTAGGGCTGCAGGTCTCCTCCAGGGACATAGGACCTGGCTGAGCCCGGCTCTAGCAGCGTCTGGTGCCCAAGGAGGGGGCACAGACCCAAGGAGGGGACACAGACCCTCACCCAGAGGCACGGTTACAGCCTCGGGACCCTGGGCACGCTGCCATCCCGCAGGGACAATGCCCAGCTGCTGCTGCCATGGAGGGACCCCGCACCTAAAAGTGGAGGCACAAAGGATCGCCTCCTCCTCCTCCTCTGTCCAGAGCTGGAAGCACGTCCTCCAGCCTCAGACAATTTGCAGTGCCTGTATTTGCTGGCCTGACACCGCTGGGGACAAGCTAACCCTGCAGTAAATACAGGGCAATTCAAACCAGCTTCAAGCTCGGCTGAAGGTGGACTTGCCTTCCTGCCCTTGCTCGGGGGGGTATGAACACACCCAGGTGCGATTACAGCAACGCACCCAAGGAAATGCATGTATCAGCCAAAATCCTTGGGCTTCAAGTTCCCACAGGACTCATCTGCACATAGATTTGCGTGTCCTTCTCCTGAAACAGTTCACAGTATGAGGCATGCCCTAAAATGACTTCCTGCACATTTTTGAAAGCTTTGCTGAGGGCAATTTTCACTCCCCAACTCACAGCCCAGGCCAGCGCTGATCCAGAGCCATCTGGGAAGCAGACGGAATGCTGCCGGGAAGGAAGGGAGCAAAGTCCCAGATTTTGGGAGGTGATTCTGCAGCCCCCACCGTGCACCAGGCAAACACAGAGATCACAGCAGGGCGTGCAGGCAGGCAGGCAGGGGGTGGCTCTGCCCGCTCCTGCTGCCTCTGCCCTCCCCAAGACAGCCCAGCCTCAGGGATGGAGCCGGGTGCTCCTCACTGACCGCGCCTCCAGCATTGCCCAGCTCTACCAGGGTGCTCCCCAATTACCGGGCAAAAGGTGGGAGCTGCCCAGCGGGGCCGTACCTGCTGTCACCTGCGTTGGCCACGTAGAACTTGCCCAGGAGGTAGACGGCAGCCAGGGCGCAGCAGCCCCCAGACAGGTGCTGGGACACCCGCTCCCGCTCGATCTGGTCATCCTGGGGAGACAGAGAGCAGCTCCAGGCAGGGGAGGCAGCCCCATGCCAGCACGCAAAGCTGCCAGCAGCCAAAACCAGCGCC